TTTTTTTTTAGTGTAGAGGAATTTTTATTGGGTTGTGATAGAGCTGATGTTGCTATTTTGTGGGTAGGTTATGGTATCTGCCAAGGAAGAGCCTAATGCTCCACTTCCTCCTGCAGTAGATGGTCTTCTAAGGGTTCACAAACGTGTTGTGGATGGGGTGGATAGTGATTCTTCTCTTACTCCACCAGGCGCAGGAGGGAAAATTTCAACAAGGCTGCTCGTTCCAGCTGCCCAAGCAGGAAGTTTGATTGGAAGACAAGGCACAACAGTTAAATCCATTCAGGAAGAGTCCAATTGTGTTGTTAGAGTTCTTGGAGCAGGTTTTTCTCTTTGCATAGTTTTACCTGTGTGAAAATCTGGAATTGCTTCTCTTGCAGAGTATATCTATTTCCTTTTATCTCTGTACGTCCAAGGTAGTGTTTTCTCAATAAGTTGCTTGATTATTGATTATTTCATCTGTTTGCACTATTCTGTGAGTCTTAACTTATTTCATCTATTGTGGAACCGGTAACATCCCTGGAAATTTGAAAAGAAGCAGATTGGATTGTAAATTCGTTGGGAGCCCCTACTTACTTGGCTTCTCTTTGCATTGCAGAAGACTTACCTGGTTTTGCTCTTCAAGATGATAGGATTGTAGAGGTAGTAGGGGAGCCTGCAGGCATACATAAGGCAATTGAATTAATTGCTACTCATCTGAGAAAATTTTTAGTTGATCGCAGCATAATTTCTGTAATTGAAATGCAGGTTAGTGTGCCTTCGGTATAAAATCCAATTCAGGACAAAGGTTCATCAGAGGAATATATTAATTGGTGCTAACTGAATGCTATTCTTGTTAGATGCAAATGCCTAATTCCGAGATGGAACACATGCCTCCTGCACAATCTTGGGGCCCGCCGCCTCAGGCTTTTCCTCCAACTGCACCTGGAGGTCCTGGATATGGAGCTAACCCTCGATTCGCCCCACCTACTAGGCAATTTGATAATTATTATCCACCTGCTGACATGCCTCCTCCATCAGAAAAAACACCACACCATGGTATATCTGCCTATGGAAAAGAAGGGCCAATGCCAGTGCATTCTTCATCAAACCAGTCTGCACCATCCGTAATAACTCAGGTAGTTACTGTCCTGATTTTGGTTTATTGACATCTGTTAGGAGAAGTATATAGTTGGAAGTGAACTTTCTTAACCCTCCTGAGCCTTTTTTTTTTTTTTTGGGTTACATTTAGTCACACCGGCAAAGAGACAGAATATCACGTGATATTGCTGTTATCTACATTTGAGTAAGTAACGGGATTTATATGCTGTGAGCTCCATCAAGATTTTTATAGCCTTTGTTCCAGCTGTGCAAAATTTTCTCCAGATATGTTTGATGGAACTTCATACTCAGTTATTAACTGATCCCTTTGCAAGACATGATTCACATTTACCAATCAAAAAATAAAAAATAAAAAAAGTCATAAAAAGATTGCTATATCCTATTTTATGGGAAAAGTTTGTAGTTGGTTATGTATTGCCTAGAGTAGCCATGAATTGGTCTCCATAGTTACTTTTGAAGATAGCTGGCATGCTATTCCTGCTAGATGAGAAGATTCCAGAGCCAAAATATTTAGTCTTAGCTCCCGTGTTGTGGGGTTCAAGGCTTGGCTAATGTTGGGTAGCCTTGATTCTTGTGATAATTTTTTTTTCTTGTTTGGCTGGTAGAACTCAGATTCTTGTCTTGATACTTTAGCCTTGGTTCAGTCTAGCTAATTGTGTTTTCAGTTAGCTTGCAGGATAAAAAAGGAAGAAATTATTAATATACTAAGACATTCCAAGCCCATATAAACATATGATCAAATGATGCAACTAAATAAGCAAATGAAAATGAAGAAGACCAAAACCAAAATCCGAGTACATATTCCATTTTGATTTCGATGCATGATTGGAAGTGGTGATTTTGCAGGTTACACACCAAATGCAAATTCCGCTCTCTTATGCAGATGCTGTAATTGGCACGCAAGGTTCAACAATAAGCTATGTTCGGAGGGTCAGTGGTGCTACTATTACCATACAGGAAACAAGGGGAGTTCCTGGGGAGATGACGGTTGAGATTAGTGGAACTGCTTCTCAAACTCAAACTGCTCAGCAATTGATCCAGGCAATCTTATTAACCCTGACTTTTGGATTGATCATCCAAAGCTGAACTTCTTTTTCTTATAAATTTTTATTATGCTTATGTCCCCAAAAAATTTGTTATACGCGTGAATTTTCAATCTTGTATATCTGCCTTCCTTTGTCATGTTTGCCAATGATGTTGAGCCATTGAAAACCTATTAATGTCACAAAGTGATGTTTCAGTTACACCTATATGATATAACAGTTTTTGCTCCTTTTGCTGTGCTGCCACCTCAATGAGTCATTGCTTTATTACTCTGCATGGTCAAAATCTATGGACTAATTTAATGATCAAATGATTGTTTTGCAGAATTTCATAGCAGATGCTGCTGCTCCATCTCAGACCCAAAACATTCCATTGACCGATCCAGGCTATAACTCTTACGCAGCCCACGGTTCAGTATATTCATCTTCCCCCTCCAATCCTAATCTTGCTGGGCAAACCGGACGTTATGGTTCAGTCTATGGTGGCAATTATGGTTATTAAGCTGGGCAATTAAATTAATGAGAGTAAATTCTAACTGGATTGATGGACAAACCGAGTGATCCTTGTATGATGTTTGCAGTATTATACTTTTCCTCGGGGAACCTGTAAACAGAACATTAAAGATACATCTTGCAGAAGTTAGGTTTAAGATGGTGTAGAGCCAATTGGATACTGTTGTTTTCACATTATGAGGTTTTCTGTTAAGTAGTAGAAACTACTTCCCACGTACCTCAACTTGTCAATCTTTGCATATATTTGACTTTCTGGGATAGTTTTTGTCAATCTTTGCATATTCAACTCTTTTGGATAGTTTATGATGCTGTTTGCTTATGATTGATATGCAGTATTAGATCGGATTAAACGACAAAAATGGATAAAATCTGAATTTGTTTAGTACTTTTCACTACTCTGCCCGATTTGCTGCTAGTGCTTTTAGCCACATGGTTTGGTATGGATATTGGCATGACCATATTGACAAAGTCGGAGCAAAACACACCACCTAACAATAACCGAACACCTATCGATCTGCTCTTCAAAGGACATTACATCAGTGGATAATGAAATTTCTTCACTTTCACTCCAAGAGTAACACTTTTGAGCAGATAAATCACCAAACAATCAACATTGAATCGTGTCCGTCCATGATACTTGCACGATAGAGGACTTTCATCTAATTTTAACACAGTAATTAAAGCAGATTAATTGTTCTCAAGGCAAAATGAGTTTGAATGAAAGATATTAAACCCCTTTTTGGTAAAACCAGAAATTAAATTTTTAGTAAATTTTGATGAAATATATAATTGAAAAGAGAAAAAAAAAAATAAAAATTGTGGGCCCCATTAAATTCCTGACTGAATTACTCTGCAATTTTCTTCTGAATTCCTCGTTCTATATTTTCCCCTCACCGAAGAAATAGGAAATTCTAATAATAAATAAAAACCAAAAAAAGAATACTCTCAAAAAAAAATTCTATGAATAATTGTAGGAAAACCACGAGGTTAACAATCCATTATTGCATTATCAAGCCAAATTCAGGATGCAATTTATCATAAGCTTAATAGCATGATGTCATGGACAGGAATTACACTACTGACTTGCAACATCAACTAGCGTGAAATCTATATATAATAAATAGATCTATGAAAATCTCTGCACAGACGAAGGGTTCACTCTACCTTTATTATACAGAGAATATATTGCCAGAATGAGGACTCATATGGGTGCTGCACATGTTGTCCTGAAATGGCCTGTCTGATTGCAACGACTACAATGTACAACTCTCTTCACACGACCATGATCTTCTGCTCTAACTCGCTTCTTCCTTGGTCGGCCAGGTGGACGCAGTGATTTAGGTGGATTAACGACAATCGTGATAGCTTTGCTAGCATTTGGATCTCCCTCAGCTAACTCCTTCCATAATGTTTTATCTGGAATCGGGTGTGTGACAGCTTTGCTAGCATTTGGATCTCCCTCAGCTAACTCCTTCCATAATGTTTTATCTGGAATCGGGTGTATGGTTTGTGAGTATGTCTTCCGATATGTAGCAACAGTGAAACAGCTCTCAGTGAATCGATGGACATTCTGCCTGCACGAAAGTAGAGCTGCCACTGCATGTGCACAGGGTAAACCGTACAACTGCCATCCCCGACAAAGACAGCAACGATTTCGGATATCAACAATGTTTGTCCCCTCGTGAGATATTACCTCAAATTCAGCTTCATTAGCACGAAGAACCTGGTAGGTACGTGCACGCTCAAGAGCCTCTGTGACATGCCTCTCAGCTGTAGGCACGAGAATAGATGTCCACTGTATGCTAGTCTCACGACGTTCATTGAACCAAGTCATGAGCTGCCTTCGAATGCATTCCATCATCTGAATTATTGGAAGACCGGAGGCTTCTAAAATCCAAGCATTCAGAGATTCTACTATATTGGCCGTCAAATGTCCAAACCTTGTCCCCTCAAAATAGGCAGTAGCCCATAAACGAGGGGGGATTCGCCTAATCCAGTATGCAGCATCTTGAGATATCTCTTCAATCTCTATGACTTTTGCTTCAAAATCCATGACAGTAAGAGCATGGGCAGCATCCCACAAATGGTTGACGAGCATTGTATTGTTGAATTCCTTACGAAAGCTTTCGCTCAAATGACGCATGCAAAAGCCATGGAAAGCAGTGGGAAAATTTGCTTCCACACCATCTACGATGCCCTTCTGCCTATCTGACAGAATTGTAAGCCTTGGCATGTTCTCTGTATTGACCTCAAGCAGATTACGGAGTTCAGAGAGAAACCACATCCAGTTGTCATCATTCTCCTCATCGACAACACCAAAGGCCAAAGGAAACAGGTCACCATCCCCATCAAATCCAGTAGCCAGAAGTAAAGTACCAAGGTATTTGCTCTTCAAGAATGTCCTATCAAGCCCAAGTAGTGGCCGACAAGCATTCAGAAAACCATAGATGGATGCCTGGAATGAAATAAAAAGACGCTGGAAGCAGTTGTCATTCGGATTACCATAAACAGAGGCAATACTTCCCGGGTTTGTTCGTTTTACTTGCTCACAGTATTGTGGGAGGAGACGATAGTCTTCTTCGAAGGATCCACGCATAGCAGCCATAATCCGTTCCTTTCCACGCCAGGCTTGCTTGTATGACAAAGCAATACCATGAACTCGATGAATTTCCTCCAAGATCTCTTTAGGCTTGCAATTGGGGTTTTCAAGAAGCCGTTGCTCTACTGAATTGGCAACCCACTGAACTGAGGCTTGCTGATGGCCAAGATGAGCGATTCCACCACATGTATGGTTGTCATTGATGGTCCTGATTGTGAAAGTGGGCATACCGGGAAGCTTCGCAGCATGAATGCGCCAGGGGCACCCCTCATTTGCACATTTAGCAGTAAAGCGAGTTTTATCTGATTTTATGGTTTGCATTTCAAAGTGAAGGGCAATAGCTGTGTCCCTCAAAGCCCTTCGACAGGCTTTGACATCAGGAAATTCTTGTCCCACATGAAGCTCATAATTAGGGCTCACAGCAAGAGTACGCGCCTGAAGAACATGACTAGGAGTAACTACTAGAGGACCCTGCTGAACACTCATATCATGCATCGGTTCAATACCCAAGTCCTGCTGGATCACAGCTAATTCCATATTCTCGTCAAGTTCCTGGTTCCCAGATACAACCAATTCATTGTGTTCGGACATATCCAACTCATTGCTCTCTGTAGGTAAAGGTGCAGCATGGACATCATCTTCAGGCTTCTGCTCCAACATTACCCCACTCTCGTGTTCATATCCATGATCATCATTGCCCTCGCCATCATGGCTCTGCCCCAAACCTGCTTCATGGTCATGAGTTTGGCCCACCTCCAAGCCATGGTTTTGAGCAATAGTCACATTATGATTATGGCTAATCTGGTTCTGACTAAGAGAGACACTGTGATTCTGTCCAAACATCAAGTCATGGTTCACCATTTTCCTCTCAAGCTTGAAATAATTACCTTCATATACAATGTCATACTATCAAAGCATTAGAAAACAATCTAATGATTTTATAGTAAAAAATTATCAGAGACATGACATATTATGGTAAAAAAAATTAGTTTAAAAGGGTATTTCCCTAGCGCTTCCAATCAATAAACTTCAATAAATGGCAAACAAAACATTAGTGGAAACAAATAACATCTTTTTCCTAATGACTTCAATTGTTATGTCAATGTGGAAATTAATATAGAACCACCATTTTCATCCATATATTAACAATTTTCAATATACATGAAATAGAAGCATAACAAGAGTCACATACTGCTACCACTGCGCACAACAAACATAACATATTAAGTCAAACAGTTTAAGTGAACACGGATATTTCCTTTGCTTTGCCAAACAATAGAACTCCAACACATAGCAAGCAACGCATTAATGGAAATCTATATAGAACCACCATTTTCCCATTAAAAATAAAAAATAAAAAAATCAATGGGCATGAAACAGAAGCACAACAAGTGTTGCGTACTTCTACAACCGTAAACTCCAAAGAGCAAACATAACATATTAAGTCAAATGTTTTAAGTTAACAACACAGACGTTTGCTTTACCAATCCATAGAGCCAGCAGGCGGCAAGCAAAGCATTAGTAGAAACAAATAACATCTTTTTCACAGTAACTGTAATTGCCATACGGGACGGAAATCAATATGTAACCACTTTTTTCCCCTCAAAAATCAAATCTTTAAGCTAAGGCGAATATTTTCTTTGCTTTGCCAACAAATATAATTCCAACAAAACGCAAGCAATGGATTAATGGAAAAAAATAACATCCTTTTCATACTGACTTTAATTGCTACGCTGTGTTGGAAATCAATATAGAACCGCCAATTTGCCACAGACACAAATGTTTTTCAACACACGAAGTAGAAGCATAACAAGCATCACATACTCCTACAACAGTAACACTCCCCCACAAAAAGGAAGACACATTTCTAATAACAACTAGAATCAATTACAATCCACATGTTTTAACAAAATCAAGCCCCGTCAATCAAAAAACACAATAATCAAGAAACCAATTTAGCCGTAAGCAAATAACCACCAGAGTTTCAATTCAAAATACAAAGTAAAGGGGAAAGAATCAAACTGCAAGAAAAAGAATCAAATTATACTGAAATAATACCTGATAAATGTCAAAAAATGAAATTTCCACTCTTTCGCATAAAGTCGTTGTCAAGAACAGTACTCGGCCCGAACCCAGCTGCAAAGACACTCAAAGTTTGAAGAATCTTCGAAAAACACGAAGCGATCTGCCAATAATTCAACTAAAAGCGACCTCATCAAGATAAATAAAAAGAAAACACAACCCAATATTTCTTCATTTGTTTAGAAGAAAATATTGCCGAAAGTAACGATAATTTGAAAGTGCGCGGGTAAAAGGTAGAAGAAGGAGAGAGATTTACAGGGGCAGAAGAGGGTGTTGCGAGGGTTGAGATGGGAATTACAGCCGCTGCTTATGCTCTGAGAGATGGGTATTTAGGTCAAAAGTTATGAGGAGTATTGCCTTGGGCATCTGTTTCTCCATCCTTCTAAATTTACTATATTACCCTTTTCTTTTCCCAGATTTTTTGTATAATATTAATATGCATGCATGCATTAAATTAATACTTCAAATTATTTAAATTTGGGTTTTGTTGTATTTCACATTATATCCACAACTACAAGATAGTTAAAAGTATCGATTGTCCTACATATACATAATAGATTTAAGTAATTGTTTACATGGTGACGAAATATAATTAAATCAGAATTTCTTTAACCACGTAAAAAAGAAAAACTTTCCTCCTCCCTTTTAATTTGACACATCGTCTATATGTAAACTATTATATAGTTGTTTATGTACAAAGTACATTATTCTGAAAGTACTGAGTATCGTTATTGTTTTTCGAAAGAGGGATTCAAAAGACATTTGATTGTGATGACAAAACTTACATGGAATGACGCGAATAGTAAAATATGATGATGCTTTGGAATCGAACAAATGAAGTTATAGCAAAAAAAATGTGAACTTTTCGATGGACGCATTGTTGAATCATTAAACATGAACTGGTGCATTTAAGAACTTAAATTTAAATATATAAAAATGATGGTGACAAATACAATAAAAACACAAAAAATAAATTCTTGAATATATTATTTTCTCACGCCACTCTAAAATTTTAATATCGATTTAGATTTTTTTTTATTTTTTTTATCATTTCTTATATATTGATTCTCTATTTCTATTGTTTGATTACTTCAAGTGTTTATTGAACATTTTGAACGTTCACATTCACTTTGACTGGGAAGAGCTCCACTTCACATTAAGGATGACAATGCAGCGAATTTTGAATGGAGGCACGCGTAACCATCCCGTTCTATGGAAGATTTGTGGTAAGTAGGTGTGACGGGACGGAGATTAAAAATTTCATATCTACCATCCAAATTAATTAGTTACGTTTAGTATTAATATATATATTTTTTAAAAATGTGATTTAAATTGAAAAACATAAAAATCAAATAAAAAAAAATTGGAGTTTACAGAATTTGCAATGGGGACCATGATCTCATACCCGCCCTGTTTGCCATTCCGAGCAGAATTTTCCACCCATTAGTGTCAAAATAATGAGGAACGGGACAAGGGGAGAGAATTTTGCCATCTTTACTTCACATTCCCCTTCAAGATTAATAGTGTTATATTAATTTAAAAAAAATGTTGCAACGTAAGATATATATGTTTATCTTTCTCATAAGTTGTTAGTACTTGTGCAAGCGGAGAAAAAAATTATCTAAAAAGTTACCATTACATGTAACTAATTTATTTTCAATTTGCTTAAGAATCTTCATTTACATATATAATTCTCGTAAAGAGGACATGCCATTTGCTAAAAAAATTGTGGTTGAGAATTTTTTGTCTCACTAAGGTATGAGAAGGTCCAACTACCAATTTAAAAAAAGGTTGAACCCCAACCTTAAGGTCCCCCATCACCCCGCCTCTGGAACATCGTTAGAGAGGTAAATCGCGGGATGTGCCCTAACAAGCCAGTGAATAAGAGTTTGCTCGTACACTGATATCTACAAATAGTTCAATTCCATATTTCAGGAATCGAACCCTCACTCTGCGGCTGCCAGCAAGGTAGAGACTACCTCACTCCTATTCTTTGCACCACTGAATTATGCCCCGGGGTCCAACTACCAATTTATATAGTACTAGAAACTTACGTATGATATGTTCGATTCTATAATATAAATGAGTTTTAGATATCTTATGTGTCCTTTTAACCGTTTGTTTCCGGCATAATATCAAATATTCATTTACTTTTAGATGACAACCATCCAAAATTTTAATAAATAATTATGCGCTTGGGCATGATCTCTTTAATGGGGGCATTTTCATTTTAGAAAATACATTTTGCTTGGGCCATGTAGACTACTTAAGTTGTTAGTTGATCTAAAAAGAATTGCTTAAATTTAAATTCCAATACTTCTCATGCAAAAATAATTTATCAAGTCCACTTCCAAAATATAGCTTTAACATTTAAAACAGAGATTCAAAGAATTTGAGAGTCTTGAGCAATCTTTGAATGGACCTATTCAAGAATAATAATAAAATGTGACAGAAAATGTCAGGAAAATATAATTTTTATTGTTCTATATTCCTGATTGTCTCACATATTTTACTTATTTATCAATAAATTAAATATATTCAATAATTTTCAAAAAAATTATCACCTACATATCTACGTTTGTAATTTTAAATTATTCTTTTTAAATTGTTATGATGTTATGGACAGATTTTTTTTGTTTGCTCTTTTTATTACTCTGTAATTTTTCGTCCATAAATTTAATTTTTAAATATTACCAAGGTAAAAATATTTAGAGTCCGTTTGGTGCACATTTTTCAGAGGAAAATGCATTTTAAACATCATATCGCGAGTCCCCCATTAGAGTGTAGAAGTCAAAAATTGTGTGCTGATGTGACGGAAAAAATGCATTTTTGGCTCTAAAAATGAGTACCAAACAGGGACTTAATTTCTTTTAGATTAAGCATCCCGTAAGAGATTCAATTGATCAATCTTTTGAAAAAACCATATCCATGTTGCAATTTCGATGGTAATTTCATAGTTGATATCTATGGAATTTGAAGGACTTACCTACATATGGATTCTGTTTGAGCCTATTATTTTCTTATTAAAATGAAAAATATCACAATTATTCATCACATCAAACCAGCATATTTGAATTTTTATTTTTTGTGTAGGGCCCATAACAGTTATATTTTTCATTCTCATTTTTACAATAATGTGGCTCAAACGAGGGCATAGTATCTTATTTAGAGCTTGTTTGGAAGTATTTTTTTAATGTCATTTTTCTCAAAATCCAATTTTTTTTTATTTTTTTTTTCTTTCACTTTCTAAAAACACATTCTTCAAAAAAAAATAAATAAATAAATAAAAAATACTCGGAAAAATGTCTCCCTTGGAGTTCTTTTTGTATTAGTACTGTCAATGTGCAACTTTATGACTTCATTTTTTGACGAGGGTGCGTGCATAATTTCGCAGTTGTCCAATTCACCCATTAAAGGAGAGGAATCTTTAGCTTTTAATTTTCTATTGAGAGGCAAAGGGTGACACGGGACGGTAGCAGATTTGTCTTCTTCTCTTAAGCTAATCACTTCTTTAATCTTTTACTAAAATTTTGAAAAAGATTCTTCTTTTTTCATACTATTTTGATTATTCCCTAGAAATTTTCTCTTTTTCTCTATTCTAAGTTAAATTCAAAAGGTAACATTATATGTCTCTCTCCCTATGTTCTTAATATTTTCTTAAATTATATCTTTAAATCCCATCCCTTTCTCATCTTAGAGTAAAAAATCCCTTTTGTTGTAGTAAAAAATCTCTTTTGTTGTTGTGAGATAGGTATCATAGGGTGATAGGGAAATGCGATAACAGGATTGGATTAGTATTATAAAATCAAGAGATAAAAGTCTCTTTTAATGTAGAATAAGAAGAGAATGCACAAACAGACTAGCATTTTTAATGACGATGTAAAATTGAATGTAAATGGATGTTCTAAAATGGCTTTTGTATTCTCATTTATATTTTGGTAGATTTAAATTCACATTTTGTCTCTTGTTATATCTTTCGTTACATTTTCTATTGAAAAATGCATTTTACATTTCCTTTTCATCTCTCAATTTGAGAGATTTTTGATCACTTTAAAGATCTAAATTATAATTTAAATCTATTTTACAAACAATTGAATATGCTAATAGATCAAACTTGACACACGACGTTGCAAAAATTGTGTTGGTGCCACCAATATATATAAGCCTCCAACTAGAGCTTGGCCTAGTTGAATGCAGGGCGAGTCAATCCACCACCCTACTTGAATTAGATCATGCCTAATGTGGATGTTGGTCTGTCACTGTCAATATTGAATAAGTTGCCAGCCCTCAGCCATTGTCGGCTGTCATTTCTTCTCCTAACTTTCCTTTATAAGAATCAGTAGTATCTCTGTAAAAGCTACGTGCATTTATTTTCTTAGTAGGACTTTACATCAGCCCACCACTACATTAATACATACGTTATTCTAAATACAAGATTGACTCTGTCTTATTTTCTTGGTTTTTGAGTCTTCTCATTCTCTCGACACTGGTACCGTTACTTTTGGTGAAACTGCTTCTTGTGGAAAAGCCCCAACTTTTTTCTTGGCTTCTTGATTCTCTAGATTAACAAGGTTTGATTCTGCTGCTTCTTTTCAATTTTTTTCTCTAAATTTAAATTCTTCTATAAAAATTTTATGTTTACATCACGTGTATTTCTATTTCCATGTTAGATTTGTTTTTACGATTGAGCTTCAGAGATCCCGGTTTTGAACCTTAAGTTTTTCAAAAGAATTTAATATGTTTATTTGGCAGTAAAATTTATCAGGTTCTTCGACTTTTCATCTAGTTGACTTCAAGCTGTTCTCATTCTTTTTCTTTCTCACGATTTAGGGCATATTCTTATATTTGTTTGGTTTTTGCCTCTCTAAGAAATTTATGTTAATGCCTATTGCATATTTTGGATAATTTGCATTGTGTACAAATCTGTGAATATCATGAATGCATAATCTGATTTAGTAGCTTGCTTCTTTATGTTTACAGCATTAGATTACTCAGTGGGCTGTCTATTGCATTTTGGGAACACTGAGTTACTGTTCTATTGGGGTGTTACGGAGTTTTCTCTGGGTTACAGAACAACTTATCAATGGATTTAAGGAGGAATCCAACTGATGAATTTCAGCAGAAAGTTTACACTAGTATTGCCACAGCTCTAGTTAGAGCAGTTCATGAATGGTTGCTGATTTTTTTGCTCTTTATTAATGCTGGTTTCTCATACTTAGTTACTAGGTTTGCTCGTTATTGCCAATTGCAAATTCCGTGTTTGCTATGCTCTAGACTTGATCATGTTCTGGGCAATGAGAGAGGAGGTTTTTATTGGGACCTAATATGCCACAAGCACAAGTTAAACATTTCATCTTTAGTTCTTTGTCATCTTCACGACAACCTTGTTGATGTTCATGGAACGTGTGAAAGTTGTTTTTTTCTCATTTGCCACAATAAACAAGTCAAATGCTGAAACATATAAATTATTGGTTGGCAAATTGGGTGCTGAGCCTTGTTTTGGGCTTGATCAAGGTTCTTTATCTTGGGAACACAATCTTGGTTCGACTGACACGAGAAAGTGTTTTTGTTGCAATGAGAAATTGATATCTACAAGTTATGCCAAGAAGTTAATTCAAACTAAGTCAATCCGCTCTGAGGATGCTGAGCTTGATGTGCCTTTATCCAAACCATCTGCACCTAATAGGGATGAGTTGAAGGAGATTAAAGATGCATCATCTTACTTCCACCATATGGGGAAAAATGATGCTGATCGTTTGTCACATGTAGAATATTCAAAGATCAATGTTACTTCCGATAGTGAATCAGAAACTGCATTTTCTGATGATGAAAGTACCCGTGCACTTATTCGTGAAATGGTGACTATTCGTGAAATGGAGTCACCAGATAAAGATTTAGCTGCTATGTATGTACAACCAGAACCTCGTGTTATTGCTCGTGCTGATAATGATGATGCTGATCCTTTGGCACGTGCGAAATATGCAAAGATCAATGTTACTTCTGAGGTTGAATCTGGAACTCCATTTTCTGAAGATGAAAGTGCTTGTGCACTTATTTGTAAAATGGAGTCATTGCACAAAGATGTAGCCGCTGGGCATGTACAACCAGAACCTCCAATTATTTCTCTTGCTGACAATCCAGATCCAGAGGAATTGATATATGCAGCTTCTTCAACCAAGCTTTCACTTTTGGAGTCAGAGGTGCAACTGGAAGCTATTAATTCCTGCTGTAATACAAGATCTGAGTCACCCATTAGACATCATGGGTTGGAGGAACTTAACAGGCAGCAAGCTAACCACAAAGATGATGGTATGTTACCATCTGAGCTCATAACTTCTGATGAGGTACTTCAGCTGCCCAAGGTTTCTGGGTATCAAAGATGTGAATCAAAAGAGACTGGTAAGAGTTATTGCATTTTTGGGTGTCTCAATATGTCTGTTCTTTTCTGTTGGATCTGCTTACATTTTCCAATACCAGCTACTATTAGGTGGATTCAAAATCTCTGTTGGAGTGGAATGCATAATTTTTTTTTACTTTTTTTGTCATCTTTTGTTCCTAAAATAATTATTAAAATAAATTGAGAAAAAATAAATCAAGATAAGTTTTGAAATTGGCTGATATGCTATTGAAATGGCTTAACATTTTTTTTCTGCTTTCTTCTTTTAAAGAAGAATGAAGGTGATTCTGAAAATATGATGTGGCAGTTGCATTTGACAATTTTGCCTATCCTATTATCTTATTTTCTTTCTTGCTGCAGATGCCAAAGCCATGGCTGAATTGGAGAGAGAAGTTACCTTGGAGGGTGGACAAACTTCTGGTTTGAAAGTGACACCACTTCAGCAAATGATGGCTGATTCTTTGGATCTTAGTGACGCCTATAAATTAGCTGTTGGCAACAGGGGAAGGCAGTTGTCCGGAAGACTTTTAGAACAACAGAGGTCTATGAAGGATTCTGAGAGAGCCAGCGCAGATGTGAAGCTCTTGTTGTCACAAATATCTTCTCGGAGGATTGATCCGTCATTAAATGATATGAGCCCTAGGGTGTCTGCAAATAGTGATGATTTTAGAACTTCCGATGCTTCTAATGCTATTGGGATGCTGATATCACAACGAGGGACATCATTTGAGAGAAATGAATCTAATACATCTCTTGATGGAAGCACTGTCAGTGAAATCGAAGGTGAAACTGTGATAGATCGATTAACACGACAGGTTGAGCATGATAAAAAGGTAATAGGTGCTTTGTATAAAGAATTGGAGGAAGAGAGAAATGCTTCTGCAGTTGCTGCTAATCAAGCAATGGCGATGATTACTAGATTACAGGAGGAAAAGGCAGCCCTCTATATGGAAGCATTGCAATGCCTAAGAATGACGGAAGAGCAAGCTGAGTATGAGGGTGAAGCACTACAGAAAGCAAACAACCTACTTGCAGAGAAGGAGAAAGAGATTCAAAATTTAGAGGCTGAACTTGAAGTGCACAAAAACAAACCCGGAGAATCATCTTCATTAGGTCACTTTGTGAAGCCAAGTCATAAATCTGGTGCAGGTGAATTGAAGGTAGCACAATTAGATTTGAACCGTAAAGAATTTACGAACACTTCATGTCACAGTTCAAATGATGATAAATTCGCTGTTATCAATAGAATTGTTGAAGCACTGAAGTTGTCTGGGAATGTGGACTATAATACCTCCGTAGAAGTTAAAGATGAAAAACAATATGTCTTGCGATGTTTGAAACAATTAGAAGAAAAGCTTAATTCATTCTCAGAAAATAAGGTATACTCTGAGATGACTGATGGCGACTATTCAACAGAGGAAGGAAGTGGTGTAAGTGGTTCCAAAAACCATGATTACAGGGAGTTGTATGAAAGAAATGGTGGACATTTACAAAAGATACTAAGCGAAGAAACCCTTCTGCTCAAGAACAATCTGCTTTCTCCATGAAATTCTCAATGTATTAATGAAGGAAATGGTGGATTCAAATATAAACAACATGTCAGTCGAGATTCCAGGTAGATTCTCCTTCACATGAGGTTTCTGTTTTTAGAAAAACATTAGGAAGGGAGAACAAAGTTTTCTTGAACATTCTGTTATCACTTGAGAAAGGAACCTAGGGGCTGAATGTATTTGAGAATACCTTCTCGCCCGCGAGAAGTACCTTCAACTCAGATAAGAATAACAAAACAACTTTCAATGTGAATTTCTGTAACCGAGTACCTTAGAGGTAAACACTTTACTAAAATCATCTTATTCATGTCTCCTTTCCCTTCTTAATGTATTTGACTCGTGATATTGTACATAATAGATATGTTTGCAATTGAATTACAAATTAGTCATTGGTTTGAAATTAATAAGGAAACTCTGTCCAATCTCATATTAGGCTAGTCATGTATTTTACATTTGCAATCCTAGTTCATGCCTTATTTTCAAAAGTAAGTTGTGGCAATACACGGGTATGAAATGGCAACATGAATACCCAGTTCAAAATATTGTTGATAGTTGATAAGATATGCATCTTTGTACATTTTATCAAAGAATTCCAAGGTAAAAATGGATGCAGCTCATTAGCTACTACGAAGAAGATGCAAATAATTCTTGAATGCCAATTTTATGCGAATTCATTATCTTATGTGTTGTTTCTTCCAATTTGAAGGATTGGTCTACTTTTGATGATATGTTGTTTGAGTAATAGGGCACTGGAATGTGAGTGCAAAACATCTATATTACATTCTACATGTATTCAAAAACTTCTAATATCTGCACGTAATGCTTGATTTTCCGAAAATATTTCGTATATTATTGCACAGCTAAATTAATTTTTTACCTAATATGTTTTCAGATGCCTTCATATGGTTGAAGATGATTCAACTCTCTGGAAAGCCAGAAGGTAACTGTGATGCACAGCTAGTGATATAAAATCTGAAAGTAAACCACTTCTTTATCCTTTTGCTTTCTATTTCTATATTTAAGATTTAAGTTGAGCCTGTGTGATTCTTTCTATTTGTCCATATTTAGTTGGGTTTACATAAAGAAAAGGATTTATTATGTGTACTGATACATTGAACTCTGAAATATTTCGGTTTTTGGGTATATTCTGTTTTATTATTGTTCACATTTGAGTCTAAAATGAAAATTTTTTGTATAGACACTTCTTCTCTGTCCACAATTAAAGTTGAAAAATGAGTTTTATAATAGTGAATTTTTGAAGAATATGTGGTTAAAAAATAGAAAAAAGTTTTTTGGTTTATATGTAAAATATTTTATTGTGAGAATGTGTGGTTAAAAATGAGTTTGAAAAAAAAAAGTTTTGAAATAATTAGACAAACTGGGGCTTAGTCTCATTCAGTTCTACTGTGCCAAATCATTGTTTGGAATAGATATTCGTGAATCCCATTTTGAAAGTAAGATATACGGGTAAGAGAAACATAATAAAATTAATGGGAAACCTCCTTTCACTCTTACAATTAGTAATGTCATAGCCACAAATTTAAACGAATGATAGAGACGATAAGAATGGAATCCAACATATAAAATACAGACAACAGACTATCTGTTGTAGATGCTAATGTTTGTTTTCAACTTTCCCATTAGCAATTGCTCCTTGCACCACTGCTTGGCTTCGATTCATCAGTGTCTCAGATTTTTCACCCTTTTGCAGCACAATTTCAATCTGAACAAGTTGCAAAATAAAAAAGATTGTTCATTTTATCATGCATATATAAATGAGACGTTCAACTTTGTCAAAGAATAACGGGTTCGACATAGTATCAAAGAATTTCACGAGTCATATTTCGATAAACAAATAAAACCATTCTACAGGTGTGCACGTATAATCATTCGGATGATTCTTACTGTCGTGTTAGAAGATGTAAAAAAATAAAAATATAAAAATATAAACCTGTTTTTTGTAGTTTAAACTCTTAAATGAAGTGGTTTGATATGGTATTAAAATATAGACGCAAGTACGAGAGCATATAGGTACTGACCCTGGCTTTCTGAACTAACCGGCCCTTGGCTTCATCGATCATTCCCACTGTGGATGTTAAAATCTCTGCTCCAATAATGCCAAAACAAAGATAAAAATTGTGTTAGGAAACTTGTCATTCTTCAGAAAACAGTATCTTTTTCCCCTAATTAATCGTTGTTAAGAGTAATTGCTTACTTTTCTCAGCGGCAAATCCACTATTTTTAAGAATCTCAGCTATTGTGACAACTGTTGTAATTGCTGTAATGATTTGCACCCAAAAAAAAAAATAAAAAAAAAAAATGAAAATGTCGGCTCAACCACATATTTCTCAAAGAACAAACGATAAATATGTAAATTTACGATTCAAAGCAAAATAGATAAATATAATATAAATAAAAATTTTCGGGACTGTCCACTTTACACCTCTAATTACTCGACAAACAAGTTGGCCTTGTAGTGATATTACTAAAAGAAAGTGAGCAAAAACAGGTTAAGAATATTGTTACCCATGCCCAATGCAGATAGCTCGATCTCAGTATTCTGCTGCAAGTACCTCTGCTATCATAAAGAAATTTGGAAATTGTGAGTATAATCTCCCTAAAATTCATGTATTTATTCACTTTCCAAGCCACCTTAATTAGATATGAGCACACATTCTACCTCAAATTGCACATAGAATAGAAGCATCCGTCGATAGAAAAATTATCACGATAATATGATCATTTCGTGGTCGAAGAAGAAGAAGATATGCGGATCCCGAGTGAGCAAGTACCTACCTTAGCAAGATTGACGTAGAAGAAGAGAGGTTTTTTGGTGTTAGACACTTGAATTCTGTTCTTCTTAAGATTTTCACTATTTATTTGCTTCACTGCATCAGTTTCCGTTGTCATTTTTCCCTCTCCAAATATGTAAATATTAATCTCTAAAACTGGGTTGGCTTTGCTACTACTATATATTTAATTTTGGGGGCTTAACCGTTGCATGCATGAGGCCTGTAATTTCAATGGAAATCCGAAATAAAAGCCCCTTTTGACCAAGTAAACATCATTTAGTGGCTGTAGAGTGGCTGGCTTATAAATTTACTTGGAAGGAATTTCATTTCACTTTGTGAACTACATTTTTCAGTCATAATATATTATTTTTGTGGAAATCAAAATTTATAAACATATTTCGATGGAATCTGAATCCAGATGCAGTTCCTTTGAATTTGTAATGGAATAATGGATTCTGAATATTAACAGTATCTATCAGAATATAGAAATCTTCTACTATTACTTTCGACTGTATAATTATTTTGTAGAATCTTTCCATTTTCAGATTGACTCCTTTGAACTTTAAACACAAGAATTCATAATTCTTTATGCTGAGTTATCTTGGTATCAGAGCAATTCTCATCAATTTCAACCTCTTCGACCACTTGGAAGATATATTGTGTATTTATTGAATTGATATTGGCATCATCTTCAACAAATCAATCTCAGGTAAACCATCTAATTTTTTTTTCTCTTACCAAGCTTTGAACTTTGAGCAATTTCTTGACTTACATGGGATCTTGTCGAATTATCTCTAAACAAATCTCTTGGGATGTAAATTGTAAAAACTCGTTATGGTGGTTCAATTGAGCAATACAAAGTTATTAATTACTGGTAAATGTAAATAAGTTTTGAATGAACATTGAGATAATGATCAGTACTCGCAGCAGCGATAACTTGTTCTGGTTTAAGTAATTTTGTGTTCATAAACGGTGTCGATAAGTGCTGATCTTGTGGGTGTAAGGCATGGCTGCTTGAATCCGGTCTTTTCTTTTCTGAAGAAACCTCTGTAGAGATTTCTTTAAGGAGATGCCTCGACGATGCAGCTGAAATTGCATATATGGTACTGGTGCCACACTACTAGTTCTTGAATTGTTTAATTTTTCTTCCATTTCCATTCTTGCAAGCCAAAGGATGGCTATGGCCTGCAGCAGCATTACATAAAACACAATCGAATCAACAATCCATGAAAAATTTTATTCATCTGGGAATTTTTCTAAGTTCTTTCCCATTAATTAATCAGGTTTTGAAACGTTTCCAGTTGGTTTGGGAGATGGAAGCTAATGCCCTTTCAAATCGACATAAAATACACAAGTTCCTGATTTTGCAGGTTGAAATAAATACATGAAAAAAAGTATAGGGGAAATTATGTATGCAGGTATGTACCTGAAGTTCAGTTGCATCTCTCTGAAGATTTGTAATCCTTTTTCTCATTGATGAGCAATTAGGCCTACAATCATAAATATTTTATTCAATTTCATGCATGCAACCCAGAAAAGGAAAATCAACGATGAATCCTGCATGCATGTTCCAAAATCCGTTGTTGACCCCAAAAAAATCCATCTTCCATTTCCATTCTTGCAAGCCAAAGGATGGCTATGGCCTGCAGCAGCATTACATAAAACACAATCGAATCAACAATCCATGAAAAATTTTATTCATCTGGGAATTTTTCTAAGTTCTTTCCCATTAATTAATCAGGTTTTGAAACGTTTCCAGTTGGATTGGGAGATGGAAGCTAATGCCCTTTCAAATCGACATAAAATACACAAGTTCCTGATTTTGCAGGTTGAAATAAATACATGAAAAAAAGTATAGGGGAAATTATGTATGCAGGTATGTACCTGAAGTTCAGTTGCATCTCTCTGAAGATTTGTAATCCTTTTTCTCATTGATGAGCAATTAGGCCTGCAATCATAAATATTTTATTCAATTTCATGCATGCAACCCAGAAAAGGAAAATCAACGATGAATCCTGCATGCATGTTCCAAAATCCGTTGTTGACCCCAAAAAAATCCGGAAAAAGGGACTAAAATATAAAACCAACTTACACTGGTTGGCTACAAGTACTCGAATTCGTTGAAGGCAAGGATGGAAAAAATTGATAATATTTACTAAATAAAAAAGACTTTAGCCTTCACTCACTCCATATGTAATTCATTTCCATACAAGAGACGATAAATAATCTCATTAATTAACAAAGTAGAGTAGAGTAGGGATAATTATGAAACATCTCAACTCTCAAGGGGGTTAGTTATATAGGAAAAATGCAAACCCTACAAAAATAAACACATAGGTATTGAGCAAAAAAAAGTGACCCATGTTGGCAAAATTTAAATATCAGTGTGCCATTGTTATTAAAGCAATTCAGACATGTGTAACATGTTTTATTTATTTCTCCATGTGCTGAAAAGAAACACTCCTATTTGGCCCGCTTTACTCTATATCTTTTTGGCTGTTAAATGTCGTTTTTAGTGCACAAATTTCTAATTTCAAATGCCATTCCTATTTTGGAAAGTTTGGTAATATGGAAAGTATGGAAGAATTTGGTGGTTCATTGGGACTTTTCGGGCTCAAGAAGCAAAGGAATAAGCAAATTCAGATCACCAGTTGACTCCTACATCTTTACGGGGCAGATATTTTTCTTTCCGAGTTATGGAGCACGTAACAAGTCTAGTCTTGTTTCTAATAAATTTAAGGTCGAGCATCACTCTATTTCATCGATGACATTGATGTTTTTCAATCGAAATGATAGTATACAGTGTAACCTTGTTATTTTCTTCTGCTACAATTTGTAAAGAAAAAAGTACATTCCATTTGGTTTTTAAATTTCAATTGACTTTTATTATTCGCGAGAGAACTGTTATCTCTAACACTTTCTATGTCTCATAAAGTTCATGTATTATGAAACCTACTTCTCTAATTTTACGCTAACTTTAATTAATACCTTAAAGATTAGAACTTTTTTTTCGTCAAAGTCGACTTGCATCAAACAAGTTTGTACAAATTATGCTAAATATCAATACTAAGTAGACTGAAATATTCCCATTAGGTTTTGAGATCGTGGAAAATGTTATAGGTAACATATATTCGCATGGGGTTAGAGTACAGAGTATGAGGCATGTGCAGAAGCAAATAGGAAGCAAGATTTTATTGTTTGAAAATGGCATGTGCTTCTTCAAGAATTCAGTTTAAGACAGCAGCTATATTGACATTATCTTTCTATACAATAATGATAAGATGGAGCACAAAATTTCAATGTGGAGGGCAAATCACATGAATAGTTGATGTGGATGGCATATAAGATATTTTTCGAGACTAAATAAAACTGTGTTGCTCTTTTAGATGGATGGACAATTTGGTTTACTGGATAGTTACAACAAGTAATGCTTGGTGAGATTGGAAAATCCACATAATAAGACTATCCATTAGACGTTTTAGCCTTTTCTATACTCAACTCGTCTTAATATAATGTGATTTTTGGTTATTTCTCTTAGTTCAATGAAACTTATGGATTCTATTGAGATTCATGTAGATTTCGTTTTTATATAAGTTTTTTGGTTTTGATCAAACATTGTGGTTTGATGGCAATTGAAGAAATACTACATTCAGAGAAAAACATGTGGGTTTTGTGCTTAGTTTCAGCATGATATGAAGTTGAGGAAATATAGAGCTGGGACTCCTATAATTAAAGGCATTGCAGAAGCTCTCTTGAAAGATTTTCGGACTCAATCCAATGCACATTTCTCAATCAACAACCAGTCCAATTGGCTTCAAACCACAAATAATTAATTCACCTCGATTGCTATTCAATTTTACCCTCGTAGGATAAGAAAAGATGAT